GCAGAGTTGACAGCAACTATGTGGCGAGCATGGTCTTCAGTCTTGTACTTCTTTCCCGCAGAACGGTACTCATCTATGAACCTCTGAAGGAAGAAGGGTGAGTGACTCCGACCGGGGTCTAAACTCAGGACCTATCGGTTCTGAGTTCGACGTTCTACCGGAAGAGCAATCCAAATCCTAAGGTATGCCCAGCGTCAGGTAGTGTAACGTGGCTACTGTCCAAAATTTTGGTCTTCATCTCTGTAGCAAGATCATTCTACCTTCGACCTTCTTCACGTTCTGAAAATATCTTGAAATCTTTCTTTTGGAAGACAGAAGATCTTCATATTCAATCCACTGACGCTGAAATGGTACCGTTTTTCAGAAACATACACGGAAAAATATTCGATTGTCATTATCCAAGGTCAAACCTTTCAAACGTTAGTCACGGTTATAATCGAGACTAATCTTTCAAGAGACGGTTGATTTGGAAGACTCGTCTTTTATTCATCGGCACTGTACCAGAAGGAACTTTCGACAAAATTTCATAATTTAAATTTATTAACAGCGCGATTTTCTATTAAGAAGATGGATTAGGTACTGCCCCTTACTCATTTTAATTAAAGCATATGTAAATGAGTACTGAAACATTCGAAGACGACATCCAAGGTAAAAAGACGCCATGTTCTGGGTAGAAATACTACCTGCGATTCTCTGGCACATTCATTGTCAGTTGTGCGCTTTTTTTCATGACACCCTACAGCTAATATTAGACAGAAGAAAATCGAAGTGACCGATTTTTTTGACTACTAAACCGGTTATGAACCGCCCGTTCCGATGGCAGGGACTAAAGTCCACAACCGGTGTATGACGGTTCAGGAACGTCGGCAACGTATATCCAACAAATGGCTAGTCATCCAGCTGCATGATGATCAACTGGCTAGATTAAGATTGCGATTATTTTCAGTGATTGATATGTGCATACGGCTGTACCTGGCTAAAAAAATAGAATGTGTAGGTCACCCAACGAACTATGGAGTAAGCATTCCAGTTCTGCTGATGACCACTCTCGATTTATGACTTTCTCATTTGAATCTCTTCCGTCTGATCTTGCCGCATGTTGGTCTCGAGGCCCCGGTAAACGCATTCATGGACTTCGACCTTCTCGTCGTTCAAGAGGACTCGGGCCTTCGGCAGGGCATCAGGTCACACAATCTTTGTCTTTGACTGAAACCGATTGATCCACAGTCGAAACGTCATAATATAACGTTATATACGTCATGGTGATATTCATGGTCTGCATGTTTCAGGGAGATCGCGACGATGCGCCAAACATAGCCATATTGCTGACGGACGGCTTCTCACAGGACGACATTCTGGAGCCCGCTCGGTTGGCCCGAGAAAACGGCATCACGATCATCGCCGTAGCCGTCAACCCTAACCAGCGGAACCTCGACGAAATGTTGGAAATCGCCGGCTTCGTCACTGACAACGTCCTGTTCATCGACGACTACGAACGAATTCACCGTTCCATGGTTCAGTCTTTGGCCGTGACCGGACACAGAACCGAATTCTCGTCAGGTGACTATCGAACGATCGAATTTAATTGGTCCATTTTTACGTGCCGTACTGTATGCAGGAGCATATTAACATGTTTTGAGCAGTTATTCCGCGACACTTAAAAAAGGATCATGTTTCATAATATAACGTTTATGAAGCCAACCCTGGCATCCATGCCATGAAGGTAGTTTCATCTGTAGTGTTCGCCCTTTGACATGCG